ACCCCCTCTCCGCCCCCCACAGCTCCCTACTCCCCCAGCCCACACCCCACCCTTCCCACATTCCAGTCTTTCACTGTCGCCCCAGGCAACTCGCTGCCCAAGACCAAACCCCACCAAGGAGAGACTGGAGGGCTGGGCGGGAGTCCAGGCTGGGCAAGCAGGGAGGCACAAGAAAGAGGGAGGATCGGAGAGGAAAGAGGCTGAACAGGGGCAGGGAGGATGGACTCCAAAAAGCAGACCCAGCATGGGGGAAGGAAAGCCAGGTAGAGCTGAGGGGGTAAGCAAGAGAAGGTGGGGCAGCTGTGGGCCTCCAGATACATGGTAGGGACCCAAGTCCCCACCAAGGTCTTGGAGCAAATGAAGAGGCACAAGCTCTTCCCTGGTTCCCCCCAGCACTTGTAAGCATGGATGTGGGGAGAGGTAGGGGGAGTACTTGAGTGGCATCCACACTCACCACAGGAGCAGCAGACAAAGCACTGGGTGTGATAGAGACTGTCCAGGGCCTGGCAGGCATTGCTCTGCCCATAGATGCCTTTGTTGCACTTGATACAGGTGCCTGAGGGGAGAGAAGAGGTTGTCAGCATCACTTCCACCCTCGCCAAACCCCAGTTCAAATCCAGGACCCCCCCCCCCAAGCTTTCCTGAGTGCTTTTTCCTGATGTGTCAGAGGACACAGGCTCTCTTTACTGGGCTCCCTCCTGAGGAGAAGAGCAAGAAATGGGATGTAGCAAGGTCTTTGGAGGGGTAATTCCATTCTTGTTTACTTGATTTTCTGAGCATCTATTTTGTGCCTAGTACAGTACCCAATTCTGAAGAATGTCAAAGATAAGGTCCTTGGCCTTCAGATGTTTAGTTTCTGTTAAGCAGAAAACACTAAACAGGCAAGTCTGGGACAAATGGTCAGAGATGCACAGGGGCCCAGCAGAAGACATGAAAAAAAAAACTTCCTACAGAAAGGAAGTTAGGCCCAGGAGGCCTCTCCAGAACTTCAGTTTTCCCATCTATAAAACAAGCTGCTATTGAGGTATGGAATGATTTCTCTCTGATGCACACTTTCAAGAACAGAGAGTAGGACCTCGCTCAGCAGAGGGCCTTGTGAGCATAACTCCTGTGTGGAGGTGGCTGCTGAGAATGCAGGTTGTGTTCTAGGGACCAGGTTTGCACAGGAAGGGGAAACGTGGCAGAATCCCCAGTGCCTCCCTGCCATCTATCACGCAAGAAACAGAGCTGAGCTGCAGTTCCCCCAACATCCCCTACTAAGATACATGCACCTGGTCTGGCACCCGCCTTTCCTGGGTGTGTTCTTTCTTCCCTCCACTCCCCAATTCCAGGCCCATGAGTGAGGGCTAGGGCCTGTCTTTGGGGAGCAGATCCCAACGGGCCCGCCCCACCTTTCTCCCTGGGCACACTGCCACACTCCCTGCCTGTTGGGGCCCATCCCAGTCTTTGCCCAGGGGCTTGGGAGCCTGTGCAGCAGCTGCAGCAACTGATGGGCCCAGGCCTGTCCTGCTCCCACCCTGTGGCAGCTGGGCAAGGCTGAAGCCAAGGAAGAGGGCCCCTACCGGGGGCAGCAGTAAGAGGGTACTGTCAGACTAGGACTGAAGCTGGTAGGGGGCTCTGTCAGGGAAGACAACCTGATGTCCAGGGATAGGAAACCTCCACCTCCAAATTAAAAATGTGTCCTCCTCATGGAAGAGGAGATCTGCCTAAGATTGCCATACCAGGGGTCTTTCAGAGCTATTCTTTAGGGAAGCTTTAGATACTAGTGAAAGACAGGAGGAAACTGCTCAGGCATGTCTAACTTACCTCCTCTCACCCAACATATCCACACCTAAAATCATCCTGCTATTTTATTGCACTTTCTCTGAGTTCCTTTCTTCATTTTGGCTCAGATGGTTTAGCCAAAGAGACTTATTTCCCAGATACCGCTCCAGGCCTCAAAAGGAAACTGCTAAATGGGCCCTGTCAGTCTCCTTTGACCAAAATAATTTAGCATCACCTGCTCTAGGCCTTTCTTTCCCATGGTGGGAGAAATAAATGGGCTGGGGGTTGAACTATGCAGGCCCTTCCATCCTGCAAGTCTGCTACCTCTGAGCTTCCTCTCCAGCTATCTCTCTCTGGCAGCAGTTCCTCTCCTTATTCACATTTCTAGCCAAGGACTTCTACAGCCTGGAATGGAGGGCAGGGAAGTGGATAGTGAGAGAGCAGGGGAGAAGATACTTGGAAAACTGAAGAGGCCCACAGTTCTGGGGATTGAGCCCTCCTCTACCCATCAGATTAGCATTACTTTATATGATGAAGTAGTTTGTGGGGGTTAGACTAAAAAACTGTCTAAAATCCCACTTAACCCTCTAGCTGAAACATGTAATCAATCAATACTTCTTCAACAAGTATTGTGGGTGAAGGAGGCCACCACCAGGTTTCTCTTAACAGCAGCAGGAAGAAGGGGCTACTTTCAGCCTGAATTCTGAGCAGTTAAGGCCAGAACTCCAGGCCAGATTATTTTTGGCAGTCACACAGGGTCGATATCCATCCAGGGTGATAGTTGTCCAGTGGTCAGGACTTTTGCCCTCACTTCCAGAAGATGAGGAAACAGGCTGGTACCACCTGATCTCTGCTTCAGTGCCCATGCGCACCTCGTCAGGACTGGGGATGAGCAGCACCTGGGTCCCTGTTTTCCGTTCCAGGGAGCTCCATTTCCCAGACAGCGGCCACGGTTCCTCGTGTTCTAGGAAGCCTTCCCCCCCACAACACGCCCAGATCCTGGGCGCACGAGCGCACCCCACCCCTCGGCTGCGGTGGGCCCCGCCCGCGGGCACCTGGAGCGCCCGGGCAGGAGTCGGCACGCAAACTGCCCGCCCTCCCCGCCCCCCCACCCGCGCATTCCCCGAATTCCTGCGGGCGGAGCCAGGGCCGGGGTGGGGGCGCGGCACGCTGAAGCCTGTAGGGGCACCGCCGGGAAAGGGGAAGTCGGGGGGTTGGGGGATGCTCTCACTGCTTCACTAGGTCCCCTCCTTACAAGGCCTCCAACAGCGAAAACCTAAGGTTCTCTATCTAATGCGTGAGAAACTGGGACTCACGAGATAATCAGGGGGTTTGAATTTAGCCCGGTCCATTTGCAACCCAGTGGGAAGGGGATAGCACTCTGAGGTCCGCCCCCATCCATCCCTCCCGCCGCTTTTTTCTGGTCCAGCGTCTCCTCCTTGGACCCCGGGACACAGGCAATTTGGGCCGTCGGGGCACTGGAGAGCCAAATGCTGAGACGGATCCCTCTCAGTCCCTAGCCACTTCACTCTCACTTACCGAAGTAGTCCTCTCTGGCCTCTGGCTCTCGCATCCGGGCCCGGGCAGCCTCCGGAACGAACGGACCCTGCGTCTCCTCGAGACCCGATGGTTCAATCCCCGAGGGTTCCCCGCGGGCGCCGGCTTCTCGCCCACCGGTGCCTACCGTCAGGCGCAGCAACGCAGTTAGCTCGTCTTGGTATCGGGCGCCCGCGGCGCAGTCCCCATAGCCAGTCACCGAGTGTCGTCCGGGTTGAGTCCCACGTCTCTCCAAAGGCCCCGCCGCTCCCACTCCGGCCCCGGCTAAAGCTCCGGGGCTGCCCAGAGCCGGGGGATATGAGTGGCGGCTTTCCTGGCAGCCGAACCCCCGCGGGCCAGCCCCGCACAGTCGGTCCAGGGCGGCATGGAGCTCCGGGTAGGCAGACGGGACCCCTCCGGCGGAATAGCCGACCAGAGCCCCGCTCAGGGGTGGGCCAAACAGGCACGGCCCTGCGGGCAGAGGGCTCCCGTGGCGTTGGTCGTAGCCCATGCTGATGCCACTGGTACGATTACTGCAGGGCCGGCTACCTCCGGCTCCTCCAGCTCCCGCCCCGTCCAGCAGCAGGCTGCCGCGGGGACTGGACGGCTTACTCGCGTCGCTGGCTGAGCTACTGGCGAAACTGGAGCGGGGACTCAGGGCCGGAGCCGTGGTCTCCAGCCGGAAATCTGGGGGTAACGACTGAGGTAGAGGCAAGGCCCGGGTGGGCGGCGGCCCCCCGGGAAAGGAACCTTCGTAGCGCTGCGCCTCAAAGGAGCCGCGCGGGTTCCGCTCAGCGTCCTGGGGGCCTTGCTCCCGGGCTGGCTCCAATGTCTCATCTCCGGGTCCCCCAGTAGCTCCTCGGGGCCCTGATTTCCTAGGTCCCCCCAGCCCACTCAGGCGTCCCTTGCCAGGCCCGGGGGTCCCATCAGACCCAGTCCGGCTAGCTTCACCCTTTCTGCGGCCGAACTTGGCGCTGCCGGAGTCCGAGAGTCTTAACTTCTCTAGCAGGCGACTGGCTTTCTCCCCTAACCGCTCCATATCCTCGGGCCTGGGGCCTCCAGCCCCCTCCCCACCTGGCACCCTGCAGGGTCTCGGCGGCCGCTTCTCTTTCCCTGCAGCCGGACTCCGGTTCCCCAGGGGCACAGGATAGGCACAAGGGCTTAGCGGACGGTCCGGGTTCCCGGCGCTGGGAATCCCACAGCATCCCCCAGAGGGAGGGACTGCGTCCTCCCGAGCATCTGGGGTTAAGCGGGGATAGAAGGGTCTGCAGCCACGGCTGTCCGGTCCGCAGGTCTACCAGTTCACGCGTCCACTCGCCCCACAACCAGACTGTTCTGGGCCCCCGCCCCCCTAGCTCTCACACTCGGCACAAACCGAACTTCTCTCCCAAACTTTTGTCTGCTCGGCCGGATCTACTTTCCTGGAAGGGCGGAGCGCTGTGTGTACTAGAGCAATGGGGGTGTCTGCGCAGGGATCTCTGGTGTGTAGCGAGGAGGGGGTCACCAAGGCTAAGTGCCCTGCAGGTGGAGATTCGACAGGACTCGAGAGGAGGGCAAGAGGCAGTTTGGGCAGCTGTGGCCCCAACACTTTAGAATTGAAACAGGAAAAAGTGTAAGGGAAGAGAGAATGGGGACTCTTTATTTGCAGTTGGAATGCGCGGAGGGGCACTGTGGAATGTCATGCGTTCGGCAAGGGGTGATCGAGGCATGTTGTGCGCAAACACCGTGACTTTGTTCCTAGTGTGGGTACTGCAGAAGACTTGGAGAGAGACTGTACAGAAGTGGTAAGATAGGGAGGAGCCCAAAGTTGAAGACAGGAAGAAAGAAAAAAGGTAAATACATAAAGAGGTTTAGAGACCTGTAGGTAAAGGTAGCCCTGAAAGGCAAGGATTCCCAAAAGAATAGGTTTAACAGGTAGCGAAAGGGAGAGCCAAGGGGAATCTGGGAGGTTCAGAGACCAAGGGATGTATAGACAAAAGAAAGGACAAGTTGGTCTTGAGAACTTAAGAGACAGATAAACTGCAATAAAAGACACAACTTTCTGGACTCACAGTTCTGTGGCGGTAGAGAAGGAGAGTGGAAGATTTATGTGTTTGTAGAAGCAATGAAAAGGAGTAAGAAAAAAAGTTGGGGACTGATCCCCACTTTATGAAGGAAGGAAGGAAGGAGATTAAAGCAGTGAGGAAAAGGTTTGGAACTCATTGCTACCTGAAGGGTAGGAGAGATGGAAGGATAGATAGACACCCCCTGGTGTTGGGAAATGAGATTTTTAGCAAATATTTCAGGTGATTGGGCGGATCCAAGGCCTGGTTAGGGAACATATCCCCCATCCCCACCCCCTGATGCCAGCCAACTTTCCTTTTTAGTTTTGGTTGTCACAGAATGTTGATGACAAAGAAGAAGTATGAACTTATGAGAGGAAAAGAAATGCCGTTTAGAGGAAGTAGCAAGTAAAAGGAATGAGGGGGAAAAAGGAAAAGAGGCTGATACTGGCCATACTGGAAGAACCAAGAATAAAGAAAAGGCCAGGGGGTGTACAGTGCCTGCCTAGCAGCATATGCTAGGTCCTGGGTTGGATTCCCAGCACAGCAAAAAAAAAAAGAAGAAACCCTGGCTACAGCTAAAGAGCCCAATGATTTTGTCCGGACTAGCACATCAGGGACATGGGGCAGAGGGAGTAGAATGGAGAAGGCTAATGACTCCTTTGTATTTAGCTATTAAATGAGTATGAAAATTACATGCAAACAAATTATGCACATTATTTTCATCTCAACATTTTGAACACCTTTTATAATTTTAGTGTAGCCTTGGGGAATGGGGAAGAAAAGGTTAATGTTTTTGGGAAATGCATTTGGCATAAACTATTTGATGTCTTTGCACAAGTTGCATTGTCTACCAGACCTTATCTCTCCAGAGAATCAGCTTGTTTCCCTGGTCAAGCCTATAGCTTTCTTTGACCCTTAGGACAGCTCACTGTCAAACTGGAAGCTGGGAGGACTGAAAGCACTGGTAACAGAGGGAGCTATCAGATTACATCTGGAACCTGTTGTAAAAACATCTTCAGAATTAACCATAATTTTGCATGCACAAGGCCCTGGGTTCAATCTGCAGCACCACAAAAAAAAAAAAAAAAGAATTAACCATAATGCTCTCCCTCTTCCTTTTCTGACTCCACATGAGGAAGGAGAACCCAGATTTTTTTCCTTCCAGGTTACTTATATTTGATCCTTTGGAGTGAGGATGAGAGAGTAAATCTTGTGAAAAGTTCTCTGGGGAAGCCATTGAAAAGGCCCACCTTTGGGTGGTGGCAACAACGGGCATAGTTAAAACGAACAGCTTGTGTTTTCAGGGGACAACAGAAACCAGAGAAGAGTGAAGGGAAAGTAGGGTACCTGATAGGACATGCTCCAATAGTGCTTATGACCTCAGGGTAGCCATTCCACAGTCTGAACTGGAACTGGGAGCTCCAGAGGCTTCTTTATCCCCAAGACTTTAATTACAAATCTGAATCTCTAGCCCAGACTTTCTTAGACTTAAAAACTCAAATGAAAAAAAAAAAAAAAAAAACTCAAATGACTACTAGCATTTCCACTTGGTTGTCTCAGAGATACCCAACACCCTAAATTGAGCTCATTTTTCCTGCTTCCTGCAACTGGCTCCTCCAGCACCATTGGCCACTTAGTTGCTTACACCAGACACCTAAGCATCAACCCTATATTTTCTTAACTTCAAATCCTAGAGTTCTATCAGATCTGCTTCCTAAATATCTTTCAAGTCTGTTTTCACCTGATCACTAGTATATAGTGTCTGTCTTGTCTCTCTTAAACCAAAGCAAGAGTGCCCAGACAAGTCTGTCTTCCTCCAATCAATCTTACACCCTGAGGTCAAGTGATTCTTTTTTTCTTTTTCTTTTTTTTTGTGTGTGTGGTGCTGGGGATCGAACCCAGGGCCTTGTGCATGCAAGGCAAGCACTCTATCCACTGAACTATATCCCCAGTACCTCAAGTGATTCTTACAATACATAAAACTGATCATCTCATTTTTCTTCTTAGAACCTTTCAATGAATCCTCACTGTCCTTGAACTAATGTATATATTCTTTTTTCTCTTTCTCCTTTGTACACGTGTGCATGTATGTATTTTACTAGGAATTGAACCCAGTGGTGCTCTACCACCCAGCTACATTCCCAGCCCTTGTTATTATTATTATTATTATTTTGAGATAGGGTCTCCCCAAGTTACCCAGGCTGGCTTCAAACTTGTGATCCTCCTCCCTCAGTTTCCTGAGTAGTTGGGGATTACAGGAGTGTACCATCATACCCAGCTAATGTCTTTCTTCTTTAGGGTATTTTACAAGGTCTCTCTTGACTCTTCAGACTCTTTGCAATTTTCCCTCCCCAAACTGATCTGCAGTAAAAGTACTCTCTTTTGCTTCTGGGCTTTTGTAGATGCTGTCTCCTGTTTGGAATACTCTCCATGCCTCTTCCCTTCTGGTTAACTCCTCACATCTTTCAGGTATCAGTTTAAACATCACTGCCTCTGAGAAGCCTTTCTTGACTTCAAGAGTAGGGTAGCTAACCCAGCTACATGCTGCCATTGCACTCTGCATTCCTACATGGTCTCCCTTATTACAACTTATTTCATTGCCTACTCAATTTCCTCACTTCCTGACTAAAAATAAAACCTGATCATCTAGAACCTTATCAGCAGTATATCTGTAATACATAGTACCTGACACCTACTAAGCAATCAATATTTGTTGTTAAGATTGAGTGAATGGGGGGCTGGGGATGTGGCTCAAGTGGTAGCGCGCTTGCCTGGCATGTGCGCGGCCCGGGTTCGATCCTCAACACCACATACAAATAAAGATGTTGTGTCCACCAAAAACTGAAAAATAAATATTAAAAAAAAAAAAAAGATTGAGTGAATGGATATAAGGCCATTTTACTTCTCAGTGCTTTCAACAAAAAAGCATGTGTGTGCACACACCTATATATTCTCCAAAGTACAGCTTGGTTGACAGTATGAAAAATAACTATGTGTATTCTGTTTGGTCATAAAGTGGGAGAAAAGCCGACAGTGAGACATTGGAACTCTTACAGCTTTAATTTCCTCATCTGTAAGATGGGGATAATAAAATCTTCCTTATATAATTCAATAAGCAGTAGTTATTATATCTAGATTCCAGTCCCCAAACAGTGATGGAGTCCACCTTCTTTTGCTCATAAGAATCAAGCCCATGACTGAAACTTACCACCAGGTGGCAGTATTACCCTGGACTGGTCCATTCTGCTTCCTCTGCAGAACTGGACCTGCAGTCATGGGGAAGCAAAAGGTACAACCAGGGCTGCTTTCCCTGAGCCTTGGGGGAAAATGACTCAGAGAGAGAGAGAGACATGTGTCAAGAAGGGTTGGTATTTCTTAGACCCATCCTCCTTTTCTCATGCCATGCTCCTCCGTGGCACTGTTTATGCTTAGGAATAAGCATTTTCTGGCTTGCCATTCACAGTGAGGGTGTTTTTCCCCTTCTAGATAAGTCTTTCACCCGACCAGAGAGAGCTTCTAGCTTCCACTTCCAGGAGAGACTATGTTAAGAAGTGAGTCAAACTTTCTTTCTCAGACTGCAGAGGGCTTTTCATTATTCTGGGAAGCCCCACAGCCACCCATTTATGGGACAGGGAGAGTGGCAGAAGCCAGAATTATTCTTAGTTATAGACTTCACTCATCCTTTTCCACCTTGATTTCGATGAATGAGTTCAAGTCAGGACAGCAGGTTTTGTGGGGTTGGTCAAACGATGGAGAGATGGGTCCATTCTCATTTCCTCCCTCTTCTTCCTCATCTTGGAAATTAGGATTGTAAAGTTCTGGTGGAAGGAGCTGGGCTTCAGCAGAAGGCAGTCTGTCTGAGGGAGGCCCATATACACGGTTGGCCTTGGTGCCATGCTTAGAGTTAGCATCCAGGTGATAGCAGAGCTCTGTGAGGCGCTGGGCCCGGAAACGAGGAGAGCGGGCAACCCAGACACCTGGCTCATTAAGACTGTCCTCCTCATCAGACATCAGCTCTTCTGTCACATCTTTCCACAGGTTTTGGTCCTCAGGTCCAAAATGCCTCATGATGCTGGATCGGTTGGCAAAAAGCTAAGATAGGAGCACACGACAGACATCAGGAAGAGAAACAGACTATGGATTAGGTTTGGGGAAAGGGTTTAGGTAGGATAGAAGGCAGTGTAAAGTCTGTGCCTAGGGGAACCCAGTTTCCTGGTCAGATCTTAGAATTGGCTCACCCTCTTTTCTCCTCCATCAGCCTATGTTCCTGGCTCTGAACCCCATTCTTAGACACTATGTCTGCTGGCTCTTCTCCCTGGCACTTCTTAGGATTTAGGGTTTAACATCTTGAAAGGAAGGCCTAGAGACTTACCCGGTATCGGCGACTTCGAAGTTTCTTCTCCTCTTTTTCCTTCAGACCTTTAAAGGGGTTCAGGGAGTTTCGATACTCACGCCTCTTGGTGAGGAAGTAAGCCACACAGGCTCCTGAAGGAGGGAAGGAAAGCAAGAAGTAGGGTCCTTCAGAAGTGGTCCCCAGCCCTTTTTTCTGCCCTACACTAGAAGTTTGGAATCACTATTTAGATGATAGGCTTCCTTGACATACCCACTAGCATCTATTTAGTCGTCTTTGGTTTAATACCCTTTGCCCACCTCCA